TTCTTCACCACACAAACCTGGGTAGTGCCGGTTGACTCCATCGGAGGCACTTGAGCCTTTATCTCATCCTCTGAGCTGTCGGCATAATGGCACTGGTTACAGGGAATCCTGGACATTGCGTCAGCGTTGGTGTGACAGCGTCCCGGACGGTGTTCAATTTCGAAATCAAACTCCGCCAATAACTGCAGCCATCTGGCCACTTGGCCAACTGGATTTCGGAACCCGAACAACCACTTGAGAGCCCCGTGGTCAGTACGCAGCTTGAACCTGCGGCCATACAAATATGGTCTGAAATATCTGACGAAATGGACGACTGCAAGCATCTGTTTTCTGGTTACACAGTAATTTCTTTCAGCTTTCGTCAGGGACCTACTGGCATAGGCAACTACCCGCCCGGCACTGTCCTGTTGTTGGGACAGTACAGCTCCTATCCCAAAGTCGCTTGCGTCAGTGTCCAAGATGAATTGGTCCACGGCCGAGGGGTAGGCCAGAATTGGCGAGGAAACAAGTCTCACTTTGAGATCTTCAAATGCTCCTTCGCATTCTTCACTCCAGTGGACACGGCCGTTCCATGCCCATTACTCCAACGCGTATTAAGTTTTTGCTACAAACAAACGTTTACTCCAATAATGAAACAAAAACCCGAATTCAACATTGCGGATATTTTACGTTGACGGGCGGTGGAAATCGAATTTTAAAGTGCATTTTTGTTATTGTGAATGCATTTTAGAAAAAAAACAATCACATTGATTGAGGCTCTCTTTTTCTGCCCATTTGTATTAAATAAACTATGATCAGAAAATATTTGGACTTGCAGTCGGTTTAAAAAGGTGTTTTTTTACTGTGCGTTAAATCTGGCGACGGCCGTAAAACAAACCATTCTAAATCGTCTCTTAAGAAAAACGACGGGTTTTCCCACAAAAAGGAATTAAATTCTTGAAAAGTTGGGTCTTGAAATTTCGAAACCCTGGGTATAAATAAAAAGACAGCGGAGAAATTTGTAGGAGATCGGTTTGAAAATGTGACTTTTCCGACGACCCCCCCATCAAACCCCGTTGAAAATGTACACGCGCCATACATGTACACTGCACACGTTCACTTACGTACACACTGTCTTGGCGCGAGATACGAACTCGACTAAATACATACATCGATGCCCGCATTCTCTATGCATTCCTTGCGTTGGTTCATATACATGCTGTGCGGGCAGGGCCAACGCTAGCAACATCGGTCACAAATGGAACTCCACGAAGGAAGATTTTCCGGCTTTTGGTAAATACTTTATTACTAAGTGAGTAACGTAAACAATGGCATATTTGCTAAAAAATTGAAGCAATGAATCAGTTAAAGTTTCATCAACAAGCACTGGAGAAGTTGTGCCGTGTGTGCACTAAATTAAATACAAATAGCACGTACATAGCAGTTGACTGTGCAAGGTACAGGAAAGAGTTGGAAAAATTGTACAGTATAATTATCTGGCTAGATGCTTCTTCAAGACATCCAAATAAACTGTGCTGGAGATGTGTTCGAAACTTGACTGACTCACTGTAAGCAACAAACTCGAGAAATCGGATATTCGCATTCATATAACCCACACGAGTGGCCAAAACATTCAAGGACTGGAGTATGCACTACATGTGAACTGTACAGTAATCTTCTGAAGGGAGGACGCCCTGCAAAGAGGAAACGCACTGGGAAGGGTCTTCCAAATGTTGAGAAAGTTAGACTGGGTACTGTCAGTGAAATCGACTACTCATTCAACATTGCTCCTCAAGATGGTGTGTACACGGTTCCCCCAATCTTGACATACTTGGTGCAGAAAAGTCAGTGGAGACTATTTTCATATGTACAATATGTCAGTGCATCCTGAGCTCCCCATCAGTGCAAACCTCCTGCGAACACAACTACT